TGTTTTTTTTACAAAAATGTTACTAAACCCTGTTTGGGGGGGGGGGGAACAAACAATTCGAGTCTGTATGTTAATCTGTGCCTTTAAATAAAGAGCAATAATTAATGGGAGTGCAGCACCTTGCTGTATTGTATAGTGACAGGGATTGAACACTGGCACTGCAAAATGCCAGTTTTCAGCTTGTGCATTTGTAGACCCTTCAGAGCCATGAACTGACATTTGCAATCTTTGTCAGTCAAAAAAAAAATGGCAAATTCAGTTAAATTTAGTTGTGCCATTCAAACGGAATAAAGGTCATCACCTGCCCCTTTTGTGATTTGATTATCCAGGGACTGAGTTTATTTTCATGAAGGAAGACCCATTAAAAGGGCCCAATTCTGCAATTATTACCCCATCTCAGTAGCCCAGTTGGCTTCAATTATTTATCATTAATTTGCTATTGCTGTTTATTTAAAAGTACAAATTAAAAATAGTCCTGAATTGTTTGCTTAAGTGTTTCTCTATTCCCAGAGCTCTAACAACCACTCTGTAAAACAATTAAACACATTTTTAAATTCTAAAGATGAATGTAATAATTAAGTATCATTTATAATTGAATTACTTGGCCTTTTGAAAATACTGTAGTTACATATGGTTTATATTACACAAAATATCTTTACTGACTTCATTTGAACTACTCGTTTAAGTAAAGACTCCATTATCAGGTCAATTTGGGTGCCCAGGACAGAAGGAAGCTCTGAAGAAAACTCTAAAATTCAAACCATCATGTGTATAAAATCTGGACAAAAGAAACATGGATATTGAGAAACCTGGAATATAAATGAAAGGTTACCACTGAGACTCCACAGTCCTCTCTGTATGTTTTTCCACCCTTTGCGGCACCTTTCTCCTTTGTCTTCATAAAATTCCTATGGTTTTGATGATTAGGAGGCAAGCATCACTTTTTAGCACCAGTACTTCGTATGCAGGGGTTTCCGGAGATTATCATCATGTGAATTGGGGCAGATGCCTCACTCAGGCACAGAGTAACAGGAGCTAGACTGAGCACAGCAAAGGGAAATGTCTGACCTACAAAGATGATCTACTGCACGGGTTAAATACTATTCATAACAGAGGTAAAGCTCACTTTTTACCCGCTACAGTGAACTCCAAAACTCTCATCTCTCAATTTAAGGCGGAATATTAAGAACACCCTACAAGATCTCGGCAAAACTGGCAACTTAGCCTTGACTGTTTCCTGTTGAAGCCTGGACTGCGGCTGCACTTGCTAATGTTTTATGCAGCGTTAAAGAAACAAGGCTTTCACTGATAACAGTAAGGATTGATAAAGCACATGACCTGTTACTCAAACACATGGGGAAATGTTTATGATGTATTTTTGCACCATACCGGAATGAAGGGGACATGCTATAGGTGTATAGCTCAGGCTCCAGTGCTGCAGCGTGATGGCATGAAGTAGAAGAGCTCATTCATTACAATATGAATCAGCTCGCTACAGAATGTGGTAGAACCGTAGGAGAGGAAAAGCCATTTTGCTTTAATAATAACAGGCTGTAAGAGGCAATCCCAGGTACAAAATGATCAAGTGACCAGAGCCAGTTCAGTGAAGAATGATAGCATTTTATGCTCAACACCTCAAGATTAAAGTCTTTAGTTAGCTAAGCATAATGTGAATCAGTTTCATGTATAATGTATTGTGTGAGCCTGTAGCCAGTATGATACAATGTAAGCAATTCCATTTAGTGCAATTTGACTATAGCTAGTACAGAATAATTGGAGTTAGTTTCTAGCATGCTAGAATTTGAGTCAAATATGATCTGGAAAAGAATTTGATACATAATAATATGCAGGGGAAGATAACACGCAATGATGTGGATTAATTGTTAATATGCTATAATGCAGAAGCCATTCTAATAGGTTACGATATGGTTAGGAGACCAGTGTTATATACAGACAGGAACTTAAAATGTTATGGTATACATAGGACACCATTAAGGAATAGTACAAATAATCATACATAGCGGCATTTGAGGAGAAGGTAAGGCCAAATACCATAGTCTACCCAAATATTAGAGTAACTGAATAAACATTTATTGGAGGAGAAAACATGGCTACCCAAGTGAACACTGGAGACATTTTGGAGCAGTTTCTCAAATTACGGAGACTGTATAACGCTGTACCAGGCAATTCTGATTGCTACTCAAGAATTCAGGGTTGTATTAATTTTCTTCCAAGATTAAAGGTAGTTGTGACAGTTCTATCTAACCCCTTTGGTACTCTGAGTCCCAGTTTTACAATCTATTGTGCAAACATTGTAGTCTGAAGACCTATCTTTTCCAAGAGGTTAATAATGTATCATTAGTTAAAGAACTGCAGCATTTTGAAGTAAGCATATAGGCATTAATATGACAGATCTTCAAGTAAACATTTTCAGCTTTTTAACAATACTTCAGAAAACAGCAAAAAAAGTTTTACTATTGTGACTTGTGAACTTGTTGGGTTTAAATTCAATAGCTACTAGTTCAATGAAATTTTATTATTTCTCTTCCTTTCATGAGGCTAACCTTGTGTACATGAGAAAAGCTCATTTACGAGCATGTGGTAATCAGTTCTGACTACAAGTTAAAGTCATCCCTGAGCAAACAGAAAACTATTCAGCTTAGCAATAAAGTTAAATAATTATTACCAGGCTATGTGATGTGACTACAATGTGACATTGAAATGACTATGGTGTGATTAGAATAAGAATGTTATATGTCTGTGATGTTACTAGAATGAGGCTATAAAGCGTCTGTGATGCCATACTGTTGTGATATGACTAGTGTCAGAAAAAATGTGTGCATTATTAACGCATACATAAACACACAGTATTTCAGAAGCAGACTGCATTACACAAAATGCTGGTAGTTCTAATTATCTTCTTTATTAATGGCTGTTCTGCTTTGTATTTTAAAACACGAAAGAATTACATTCTTAATTCATTCACATATTTTTTTCTTCTTAAGTGTTTTGGCAATAAGGTTGCTCCTCCTTGTCACTTTCTTGACTTTCAACGCTGGGGCTGTAGCCATCCTTCCTGTATTACATAATGAACATTTTTCTTAAAACTATTATTAGATTCAGTTCCGTTTGCTACCATTACTTGATGTCATCAAAACCGGGATCAATTTTTTCTTTGTGTCTCTGTAATAAGAGACTTTTGGACACAAATGCAAAAGCAAAGCAGAACTAAGAATGTTTAATCTTTACACATCATGGGAATGCAGCATTCACATACCTATAGTATATCGATAGAGTCTGCATCTGTATGACTGCCAAGGATATGTGCGTATATCAGTACCTGCCACATGAAACCAAGCCATGCAAAATTACTGACGTATAAGAGATACAATGAGCTTCCATCTTTAATTAACAGTGTGCCACGTGTGCATACATACATGGGACTCTTAAAAGTAGGAGCCTGCATCTAAAAAATGTGAAATCCTCGAGGTAGAAACTCAGATCTCTAGCAAGCCAATGCTATCAACTGAAAATGTGTAAATTGGCTAGTTGCAGTATTGCGTACAGAAAAAGTCAAATACTGATGTTGTCCTTGTTTTTGGTATGCATATATATTTGAAAGGCTTAACTAGAAACAGCAGTTACTTAGTGTGGCCACATATCTGGGCATACTAAATTAGAGAGATACTCTGTCATATGGTTTTCAAGTTCAAGCTGAGAAAAGCTAGCAATAAAAGCAGTCAAATAAAGGTTCATTCATGCTGTTGAAAACGTTGAGAAATGCACTACGTATAATGCACTATATATATAATGCACCATAAACATCTTCTTGTCACACTTTTGAGGTCACTCGTATCATAATACATTGGCATTTTATTACACTGTCTTCCAGGCATGTGATGCTTCTTTGCGGCTAGCTGGATAATTTACCTGTGTCATTTACGGGGAAGGAGAAATGCTCACTTTTATTATTTATCAAACCACAGTGAAGAATGCTTTCCAGTGCAATGTTTAAGCAGATGAAAACCAAAGCAGCAACCAGCGTTCCCCTTTCCTTCAGCAAATCTGCGGCTGACCCTTCGGGAAGGGGAAGGAGAAAGGTGTGCAGGCGTAAATGGGAGCCAAGACAGGGCTGGAGTCAGAGTAATGTGAATTATAGATGAAAAGGCATGTATTAAATATAAAGTCGAAACACGCTGAGGGGGGCCGCGCTAGGGTATTTTCTCCGGCGCGCTGCGGCAGGCCGCGGAGGCTGCGCG